AATCTTTTAATTTCTTTTTTAATTTCTGGAAGATTAGGTAATGGTAAGTCTATTACTGTAATAACATCATTTAACGTATAAGGTATATTGACTTTACAAGAAACAATGATGATATTCTTAGACTGAGTTTTAATTATTTGAGATAGATTACGTAGTTTTCTTATTAATCCTACATCCCTAAAAAATGAGTCAAAGTCTTTAAGTATAAATAAATTTAAGTATCGATTATCTAATTTTTCAATAAATTCTAGAGCTAATAATGGATTCCGTTGGGCATAGCCATTATCATTAGGATTACTTGTATACCCATCCACGAAATCCCAACAATATACTTTTTCATTGTCGAGACAAGATATGTGATTTTTCATCATATACTCTAATCTTTCTTCTTCTCTAGTATTTATTAAAATTATCGGATAGCGAGACTTTAAAAGTAATCGTAAATCTTGGATGAAATTCATGTGAATATCTGTTCTCAATAGACTTTTGCATTTTACCAATATTAAACTAAATAAAACTATCTAATTTGATATAGACATATTCAAAAGTCAATTATATTTATATAGTTTATATTCTACTTAACTAGCGATAATTTTTTTCTACCCTTTTTTCTTCTTTCATTCAAAATAGAACGTCCACTTGGTGTCTTCATTCTTGCTCTGAATCCAGAAACTCTAATTTTTTTTCTCTTTGAACCTTGTAATGTTCCTTTAGTCATTATTTTTCCTCAATTGTAAAATATTATATTATCATCTTCTATAAAATTTGAAGATATATTAATATGAAAGTTAAGCTTAGTAATTTCTATTAATCAAGAATTTTTGTTAAAATATTAAGAATAATCTATTAATTGTAAATAATTTTATGCTAATTGCCCTGCCTATTGTTTATTTAAGTATTTTAGCTTTATTTTTACTAATATTTAGCTGGTTAATCAGTCAACAGCTAAAGACAATTTTTTTACTAGAATCTCAATTTCAGTATTTTCTTGACAAAAGCGAAAATGAGCAACTTGGAATAGAAGATGGTTTTGCCTTTTCAAAAGTATGTATAGCAAAAAAGCACTTTATAAGAGCTATAATTGAAAGCCAGTTAGTCCTACAAAAGAATTCATTATTGAATCTCCCAGAAAATGCCGTAATAATTGCTAAATTATATAATATGTTGGGTTTTATATATTATGAAGCAGATCAAAAAAAACTTGCTAAAAATTTTTATGAAAGAGCAATAGACGTAGATAGTAATTATATTGTGGCTTTAAATAATCTTGCTAAAATTTATGAAGATACAAAAAATTTCTTAAAAGCAGAGGCAATATATGATAAAGTATTGAATATTGATAAATCGAATCAAATAGCTAACACTCAAAAAAAATCTACTAAAAAAATAATCAATCTATGAAGTATATAAGACTAAATAATCGGGATAGCAGGATTTGAACCTGCGACATCCTGCTCCCAAAGCAGGCGCGCTACCAAGCTGCGCTATATCCCGCATGACATAATTAATATTATATATCTTTTTTCTAATTATGTCTACTATGTCTTTTTATCTAGGATACCAAAACATCCCCTTGACCCCATCTGGATCTCTAATAAATCCTAGTTTTCTATAAAAGCTAATTACGTCAGGCTCCGCAAATAAAGTAATAGTGCTAATTTCAGCCTGCCTTAATTGTTGAATTAATTGATGCATTACTACTTTCCCTAAACCTAAACCTTGAAAGTCTGGATGGATTACAACATCCCATATTGTAGCATTAAATCCATTATCTGAAGTGGCTCTTGCAAATCCTACAAGCCTTGTATCTGAATCATTTTTTTGTATTAAAGAAATAATAATAGAACTATTCTTTAATGCAATTTTGACTTTTTTCAGGGGTCTTTTAACCCATCCAACTGAATCACATAGTTGCTCTAATTCGTATAAATTAATATTCTTAGTATTGCTGATATAAACATCTTTTAATTCAATTTTATCGCAAGTTTTATCCAAAAGAAAAAGTTTCTTAAAATTTTTCTCATAACTCTCATTTACCGCAGAGTTTTGAAAAAAAGTTTTCCAGAAGATCATAATAATTATAACAGAATTAAGTATATATATATTATGATATTGACTTAATTAAAAAAATTTCAATATATTGTTATGTTTTTTATGAAAATACTAAAACAAAAAATTTTTTGACACAAGGAAATAAAAATTTTTGTAAAATCTTTATCATAAAACATATAAAAACTTCTTTTTAAGATTACCATTTATTAGTATAAATAGAATCTCGAAATTGAGATGAGATAACACATTATTTTATATTTAATACCTTTCATAGGAGTTATTTGTGAAGAAAGCTATGTTTATGACTTGTTTACTAGCTGCGCTATTAGTCAGCAATCCTATTCTAGTTAATGCCGAAGTTGCAGGCTTAATACCTTGTAAAGACTCAGCAGCTTTTAATAAACGTATGGTAAATAGTGTAAAAAAACTTCAGGCTAGACTAGCTAAGTATGATGCTAATACACCGCCTGCATTGGCTTTAAATAAGCAAATAGAAAAAACTAAAACTCGGTTTGCTACATATGGTAGAGCTGGGTTATTGTGTGGTACAGATGGTTTACCTCATTTAATTTCAGATGGTCGATGGAGCAGAGCTGGAGATTTCGTTTTCCCAGGCCTTTTATTTCTTTACATTACTGGATGGATTGGTTGGGTAGGAAGAGGATATCTTTTATCTGTTGCAAAAACTAGTAAGCCGACAGAAAAAGAAATTATTCTAGACGTACCATTGGCTGTCAAATTTATGTCTTCTGGCTTTGCATGGCCATTAGCAGCCTGGCAAGAATTTAGTAGTGGGCAGCTAATTGCTCCTAGTGATGATATTACAGTTTCACCTCGTTAGTAAAAAACCTATATGAATAATAATTTTACCAAATACTTATCAACAGCACCTGTAATTGGAGTACTATGGATGACTTTTACAGCAGGCTTTATAATAGAATTAAATCGCTTTTTCCCAGATGTATTATACTTTTATTTATAATTAATTAAATAAACCTATAAGTCTAAACTACACAAATAGAGTAAATACTATTATTTGTGTAGTTTTTTAATTTATATTATATTATTATTTTTTCTTTTAAAATCATAGTTCCTTATATTATTCTAATATTAGATCTAAGTAGTAAAAAATATAAATATTATGAGTTTAGTAAGTCAAATTATAATTAATGCTGACGATGAGTTAAGATATCCCACAATTGGAGAATTACAGTCAATTCAAGATTACTTAATCACAGGTAGCAATAGAATTAGAATTGCTACTATTATTAGGGACAAAGAAAAAGAGATTATACAAAAAGCGAGCAAACAAATATTTCAATTGCATCCTGAATATATTGCTCCTGGAGGTAATGCAGCAGGATCAAGAAAAAGATCTTTATGTTTACGCGACTATGGTTGGTACTTAAGACTAATTACGTATGGAGTCTTAGCTGGTGATAAAGATTCAATAGAAACAATTGGTATTATAGGTGTAAGAGAGATGTATAACTCTTTAGGAGTTCCGATCATTGGTATGTTAGATGCAATTCAATGTTTGAAAGAAGCCTCATTAGAAATGCTTGGTCAAGATGATATTAAGATCATCTCTCCTTATTTTGATTATATAATTAGAGGTATGTCCTAAAAAAATTTTGAATCTATTGGTTGAATAAATATTGGCACTATGTTATAGTCAACTTAATCCCGAAAGCGTATAATTGTATAAACATAATCTTGTCAGAACCGGAAGGTAGCAGCAATAATGTTTACCTACAAAAGATATGATTTTCGGGTGTTCTTTTTATTTATGCAGTATGCAGTGAGATATTTAATAGTTTGAAAGCATTTTGAATTTGTCTCTGATTCATGGAATTTTTCAATAATAACGATTAATAATTTGATATTAATACTGAAACCACCTATAATTTTTTATAAAACTTCTTTATATCTCATCTAAACAATGGAAACTTAACTTAATGGGTGTTCATATTTTATCAACAGGTTCGTCTGTCCCTAACTTTTCTGTAGAGAATCAACAATTTGAAGATATTATAGAGACTTCTGACCATTGGATTTCAACAAGAACAGGAATAAAAAAAAGGCATCTTGCCCCTTCTTCTATCTCGTTAACTAAATTAGCTGCAGAAGCTGCAAATAATGCTTTAAGCAAAGCTAATATCAATGTTAAAGATATCGACTTAATCATTCTTGCCACATCTACTCCCGACGATTTATTTGGTAGCGCAAGTCAACTACAAGCAGAAATAGGTGCAACCTCATCTACTGCTTTTGATATAACAGCTGCATGTTCGGGATTTATTATTGCACTAGTTACTGCCTCGCAATTTATTCAAGCTGGTTCTTACAATAAAGTCCTAGTTGTGGGTGCAGATACAATGTCACGTTGGATTGATTGGTCAGATAGAACTAGTTGTATTTTATTTGGAGATGGAGCTGGAGCTGTACTAATTAGTGAAAGCAGTGTAAATAGTATATTAGGTTTCAAATTGTGTACGGATGGTCGATTGAATAGTCATTTGCAATTACTGAATTCCCCTTTAGATAGCCAGCAGTTTGGATTGACAACTATTCCCAAAGGAAGATACGACTCTATTAGCATGAATGGTAAGGAGGTTTATAAGTTCGCTGTATCTCAAGTTCCAATAGTTATTAAAAATTGCCTAAATGATTTAGATATTTCTATAGATGAGGTCGATTGGTTTATACTTCATCAGGCAAATATAAGAATTCTAGAAGCAATTGCAAGTAGATTATCTATACCTCTTTATAAGATGATTACTAATTTAGAAAATTATGGTAATACATCTGCAGCTTCAATTCCTCTTGTATTAGATGAAGCAATAGAAGATAAGAAAATTCAGCCAGGGCAAGTTGTTCTTTTAGCAGGTTTTGGAGCAGGTTTGACTTGGGGAGCTATTGTCTTAAAATGGCAGTAGAAAAAATACTGCGGATGACGAGATTCGAACTCGTACAGCTTGCGCTACACACCCCTCAAGCGTGCGTGTATACCAATTTCACCACATCCGCTTTGGTTATTATGAATATTTAAAAAATAGTAATATTTATGTAAATATTTATATAATATGTATATATATACATTCTTATTAGAAACTCTCTTATTTTTTATTTTAAGTGATAAAATTGAGTCTAGTTAGTATAAATAAGAAAATTTTATTTTAAAATCGTAAAAAATAAATATATAAGGAAAAAAATATGACACCGTCCTTATCGAGTTTTTTGAATAGTTTAATTCTTGGAGCTGTAATTGTAGTTGTTCCAATAACATTAGCTCTATTATTTGTTAGCCAAAAAGATAGAACAATTCGTTCATGAAATTAATTTAAAAAGATATGGAGGAGTCCCTTGAAATGAATAATCAGTTATTCTATCAATAATGGCTCGCTCCATATAAATCTATATTACCTAGAATAATACTAACCTTTATTCTGTAATAACTTGTACATTTTATTTAGTTTTCTTGCGTACTACAAATATTATTTTGATGATAGCTTCCTTTTATTACGTACTTTTTATTCAATATGAAAGTATTGTGTAAACCTATTAATATGTTCAATTAATAAAGAAAAACACATGTCTTTGTCTAATTGGCCTCTTAAAAAAGCAAATTCTAAAGCTTATAATATTAAAAGCACAAAACAAATTACTATCCCAGATGGATTATGGGTCAAGTGTTTTGATTGTGGCTTATTAATGTACTCTAAAGTTTTAAAGCGAAATTTAAAAGTTTGCCCTCAGTGTAGTTATCACTTTCAAGCTTCTAGTAATGAAAGAATTGATCAGCTAATAGATCAAGGTAGTTGGGAGCCCATGGATGCTCATTTAATTTCTACTGATCCTTTAGGTTTTAAAGATCAAAAGCTTTATAGCCAAAGATTAAAGGATACAGCTGTTAAGACAGGTCTTCAAGATGCAGTACAAACAGGTGTTGGTAGAATGGATGGACAAAAAGTGTACCTAGGCATTATGGATTTTCGTTTTATGGGTGGAAGTATGGGATCAGTTGTAGGTGAAAAATTAACCAGACTTGTTGAAAAAGCTACTCAAGAAAGATTACCTGCAATTATAATCTGCGCATCAGGAGGAGCTAGGATGCAAGAGGGAATGTTAAGCCTTATGCAAATGGCTAAAATTTCTTCTGCATTAGAGATGCACAAAAAAGAAAATCTTCTATATATCTCTGTTTTGACTTCTCCTACTACTGGAGGTGTTACAGCAAGCTTTGCCATGCTTGGTGATTTAATTATTGCAGAACCAAAAGCTTTAATTGCATTTGCAGGTAGAAGAGTCATAGAACAGACGATAAAAGAAGATTTGCCAGACAATTTTCAAAGTTCTGAATATTTATTTGAGCATGGGTTTCTTGATCTAATTGTACCGCGCACTCAACTTAGATCTAAACTAATACAAATTTTATATCTGCATACTAATAATGATTAATTCGCCAATTGTTTACTAAAATCTTAGAATGCTAATAAAAATTAAGATATTAAGAAATTTTCACTAAAGATATTTCTATACTAACTAGAATTACAATTACTATTGTAGAAAAATTTGTTTTAACTCTATCGTAATAGTTTTTTAAATAATCGATTTGATTTTTTAAAAAAGTGAGAGTTTAATACAAATTTAGAAAAAGGAAATGAGGTATACTAAGATAAATTTAGCAATATTGGATTTTCCTATAATACTGACCTATCAAATTTTGAGGAATTTTATGCTTAAAAGATCTTCTTGGCTTGCTACTTTATTGGGACTACTAGCTGTAGCCTCCGTAAGTGCAAACGTATATGCCATAGAGCTAGACGAGGCAACAAGAACAGTTCCATTAGAATCTTCAGGAAGAACTGTTGTTCTAACACCAGAGCAAGTTAAGCGAGGTAAACGATTGTTTAATAACTCTTGCGCTATTTGCCACAACGGTGGCATCACAAAAACTAATCCCAATGTTGGATTAGATCCAGAATCCTTAGGTTTGGCTACACCTCAGAGAGATAATATCGAAGCATTAGTGGATTATATGAAAGATCCAACTAGTTATGATGGCGCAGAATCTATTGCGGAATTACACCCAAGTATTAAAAGTGCTGAAATTTTTCCAAAAATGCGAAATTTAACAGACGAAGATCTGTTTACAATTGCTGGTCATATTTTATTACAGCCAAAAATTGTTTCTGAAAAATGGGGTGGAGGAAAAATTTATTATTAACAATTAAATCGAAATATTCCTCTGAATACAAGTTTATGAATTTTGTTTTTTAAGTATGATTATTTTGTTAGATCATGCTATATATTAAACATGGAGTGTAGTAATAGTAAGTAGCTCCTTTGCTAAACTTGCTTATATTATTTGTCTAGTTATTAAAAAGGAGAAGTTAAATTGAAAAAAATGCTTTTAGTTCTTTTTACGGTGTTTAGTTTTTTTGCTATAGGATTTACTCAAGTAGCCTTTGCTGCAGATCTAGATAATGGTGAAAAAGTTTTTTCTGCTAACTGTGCAGCATGCCATGCAGGTGGTAATAATGCAATTATGCCAGATAAGACACTAAAAAAAGATGTTCTTGAAGCTAATAGTATGAATGGTATTGATGCCATTACTTACCAAGTAAAAAATGGTAAAAATGCAATGCCTGCCTTCGGTGGTCGGCTAGTTGATGAAGACATTGAAGATGCAGCAAGTTATGTATTATCTCAATCTGAAAAAGGTTGGTAACTATACTTGATTTTCTCCAGTATTAAAGAATAGGCAGTCTAATTAATTACTTATTAGATTGCCTATTCTTTGTTTGTGCTATTATTATATAAAAATATTTATACAATATTGATATTATGATAAAAAGAATACCAGCAGTTCTCGTATTAGAAGATGGTACTTATTATAAAGGGTGGTCATTTCAGACAGAGCAATCAAAAGTTACTATTGGAGAAGTTGTCTTTAACACTGGTATGACGGGATATCAAGAAATAATTACAGACCCAAGTTATTTTCAGCAAATTGTTACTTTTACCTATCCAGAAATTGGAAATACTGGTATTAATAGTCAAGATATAGAATCTCAAACTATCAGTATTAAAGGGTTAGTTGCTAAAAATATTTGTAAAATTTCAAGTAGTTGGAGACAGCAAGAATCATTAATTCAGTATTTAAATAGGTATCAAATCCCCTTTATTTTTGGGATAGATACAAGATCCTTAACCCAATATTTACGGCGATCTGGAACTATGAATGGATGCATCTCTAATAGAAACTTAAATCGTACATATTTACAGCAAAAGCTGTCTAAATTTCCCAGTATGACCGGACTAGATCTAATTCCAAATGTAACCACAAACATAATATATAACTGGGATGAAAAAAGTTTGCCAACTTGGTACTTAGCTGATAGAAATAGAGAAAAATTATCTTGTCAACCAAGGGTTGTAGTTATAGATTTTGGAGTGAAATTCAACATTTTAAGAAGACTTGCCACATTAGGATGTGAAATAATTGTAATGCCAGCCTTAACTCCAATGGAAGATATACTATCTTATAATCCAGATGGTATACTGTTATCTAATGGCCCAGGAGATCCTTCAGCAGTCAATTATGGAATTCAAACAGTAAAAGAGCTATTGAATCAGAATATTCCAATTTTTGGAATCTGTATGGGACATCAAATTTTAAACTTGGCACTAGAAGGTAAAACATTTAAGCTTAAGTTTGGCCATCGAGGTATTAATCACCCCTCAGGCTTAAAACAGCAAGTCGAAATAACTAGCCAAAATCATGGTTTTGCAGTTGATCTACAATCGGTTTTAGCATCGTCTTTACAAGTGACGCACTTTAATTTAAATGACACTACAGTAGCAGGAATCGGTCGCAGTAGAAGTCCTTACTTCTCTGTCCAATATCATCCAGAGTCTAGCCCAGGTCCTCACGATGCCGATTATCTATTTGAATACTTCCTTGAAATAATGAAACAATTTAGACAGAAGGCTAACTAATTACCATTTAGTAATTGTCCCATGCTTTATGAGAAAAAAGCGCTGACAAGACTTGCACTCCTCGTAGTTGATTGCAAAGAGGTAAGTGCCCCTTAGGGCCAGTAGAGTTCCAATGAAACTCATCTGGATATCTACAAGGCACACGGTTAATTTCCCAACCGATTTTGTACCAAAACAGCTCCCAGTTTTTTTCTACAGCAAGCCAAATTTGCCTCTGGATAAAAAAGCCAAACTTACCTTTTGAGTGTGCGTTCCATAATTGGTCCATAGTTTGTAAATCTTCAACAGGTATTTTTTTGATATCAGTAAAATATAGCCAGTTTCTACTTTTTTCATCTACGCCAGCTAATTTAACTAGTTTTTGTTGTGTTAGCTTATCGGCGGCTATTAAATCATCTTGAACTAGTAGGATTTGTAGATCCTGATAATCCATTTGTTTATCTGATTTTAAAGGAACAATGCCTTTGGGACAGAGTTTCGATGTGAATTGTCTAATCTCTGAATTTTGGCTATTTAAAAGTTTTTCATATATTAAACCATCAACACAATTACTCATATATTCAGGCTTAGTAATCCTGTAATGAAAAATCTCAGCTAGTTCTTTTAATTGTACATAATTATCATCCTGTATCCTCTCAATAATTTCAAGTTGTTTTTTAATAGTATTTTTTGAACTGTTAGTTTCTTCTAATTCAGATAGTTGAACTTGAATTTGATTTTTCATCTGATTTTCTTAATTAATTTAAATATTTAAGAAGTTCTAAAGAGAATTAGATTGTTTTTTAAAATTAGAACTTCGGTGAATTACCTCTAAGAATGTCCTCATAATTTGATTAAATAGATTCTGTCCAATATAAATTATAAATTGCCCGATTAAGAAAACTGTACTTTTTATTTTTGGAATAAAAAAGTCTTGAATTTCAAGTAGAAAGGTAATCAAGACCTGTGCTGAGGATAATGTATATAATTCAGTAGATCTACATGCATATACATATTGACAATTTAAGCCCTCCTG